TGCCGAGCAGGAGAATCTCGCTGCCGGTCTGTCTCTGCAGAGGGCTGCCACAGCAAGCCCGATGATGATGCGTGACCAATACAAAAAGATCACCACGCGGACAAGAGAAGCGCCTCCCCCATCTCCTGATGCCAGAATGATCATCAAGATGGAAGGCAGCATGGCCCAGCGCAACGGTTCCCGAGACCGCAAGCCAAAGGGCCTTCACCTTGAGCTCGCAGGTCTGAACAACATGGCCAATGAGATTACCTCTCCCGAGCAATCGGTGGCATCTTCCACCCGTTTCCATTGGCCTTCCCGACGTAGGGGACCAGGCTCCGTCACAGGCTCTGTCACATCTCAATCCACTACCGGCAAAAGTATCCGCAGCAACACTACGGGTGGACGACAGGACTACATCCACAGCCTCGACACTGCCCAGCGCTTGCAACAACGCAAACAGCGAAGTCGACATGCCAGTCGAGAGGGCAAGCGCGATGGCTCCCGTGGTCGCGACCGTGACCACAGCCGCACTCGCAAGACATCGTCTCGCGAGGCTTCCGCTGAGCGTGGCCGTGCCTCTAGCCGCAACTGGCCCAAGGCAAAGCGGTCCCCAACCTCGCCCATCCCCATGTCGCCCGAGGATCTCATAAACTTGAGTACGCCCAAGTTCTTGCCGGATGTCGGAGAGCCCGTCACAGTGAGGAAGTCTAGCAAGAGCAGGAAAGGTACTAGTCGCGCATCCAGCCGGGGTAGCCAAGGCCGCAACAGAAGCCCCGAGGGCAGACATCGCCCTCCTGCGCTCGAACTCCGCGGCCGAAGTACGGACCGGACTGGTTCTCACGCCAGGTCACCTTCGTCTCCTCTACCGCTGTCAGCCAATCTTGTCCACTACCAAGGGTCCGAAGACGAGGAGGACTATGTCAAGGCTGTTGTTGCCCAAGAGAACTTCAGAAACAGACACAACAGAAGCACCAGCCAGCATGGATCCCGCAAGGCGCTCTCACCTGAGCTTACCAGAGAATTCCCCCGACGAGACCGATCCGAGAGTCGCCGCCGCCACGCTGGTGAGAATCTCGACCAGTCCCGCGATATTGCGCCTCCCCAATCCAAGTCTCGTGCCGCCTCTACAGAGCATGCTGGGGACTTGAAGGCCATGAAGGACGAGAGGCAGCGTAAGAAGGAGGAAGCCGCTCGCGAGCTTGAGGAACGTCGCAAGTCCCTCGCACAGCGTCCCTCGGCACCACCGATTCCCCACCCCAACCATATCCGAATCGGTATTGAACCATCTCCAAGTGCCGTTGAGCTTCCGCCTCGCAGCCACACTGCCGACCCTATTACCAACAGGAGCATGTACGCCCGCAGCAGCTCGAATGTGCACATCGGCCTTCCCGCAACGCCTAAGGCTATGCGTCTCATTATTGAGTCGGACAAAGACAAGAACAGCATTCCGGTGCCCCCGATCCCGGCCACGTTTGCTCAGAGACATTCCCCGGTGACTTCTCCCCAGCAGCAGTCTCCTGAGAAAGAGCAGCCTGCCGAGACCCTCACTTTGCTCCCTCAGACAACTTATCAGCTTCCTTCCACGGTCTATCAACCTCCCAACCGCGGAATGATTCCCCGCAGCATGTCGGCCCCGCCCATCCCCCCTGATGCGCCCTCCCCCAGAGGTCCTAGCGCCAGCAGCAAAGGTCTTTCTCGCGGTCCTTCCATGAGAAGAGGTCATTCTGGTGAGATCCGCACTGTCGATGACATGATCCGGGTCAGACGTGCCTCCCAAGAAAGCAACAACTACGGAAGCATCCCACCGCCACCGCCGCCTCCTCCTGCTCCGCCAATGTTGAAGGAGCTTCAGCACCTTGCGATGCCTCCTCCCCCGCCCCCGGCGCCTCTCCCGTACACCGCCCACATCCAACCCGTCACCATGGGTTCCGGTATGATTGAGATTGTCATGGACGACGATGACGTTATCCAAACGACTATTGCTGCTCCCATGGACACAACAGTCCCAGTACTTCCACCACCCGCCCCGCCCGTGTCCAAGGGTGGTCACAGCCGAGGACGCAGCTTCTCTGAACGCGACAACAGCATCGCTGGCCGATTCTCCAAGGCGACCGACCGCTTCAGGTCCGGCAGCCGCAACCGCAAGGAGCTCTCGGCGCGGCCCCGCGGTCAGGAGGACTACGAATACGCCCCTTATGAGAGCGTCCCCATGCCCATGAACTATGGTCGCGAGTCGATGCGATCTCCCCCCGCCATGGCGCAGAAGAGCTTGCCTACTGGCCTGCACCACAGCGAGATGATTTGATTTGATCTTCTTGCCAGAAAAGTTCCAACATTCCCCGACCCCTTAATTATCTTTACACGTCACGTTTCGATTCGTTGCATGGCGACAGGCGTTTCTCGATGAATCTCGATACCATTACTTTTTTTTCCACGACCAACGAACACGAACAACGCCCTTTGCAACGCGGCAGCTCTGGGGCCGCCAGAAGCACAACAACAGCAGTTAGAAGCCGCATTTTGTATACTTCGAGTCTATCCTTGACGACGAATATTGGAACGCGGAGTGAAACATCATTTCTTCTCCAATTTTCCTTTTTCAACTTTTCTTTCATTACACTTCTTGTTTTGCATTCTTATCTTCTCAAATGATGACTGATGATGGCTGGATCTTGGGATTTCGGGGCAGAGCCGCAAGGCAATACACATGAACACACGATACCTGTAGTGGGAAGAGCGGCCATGTACGTGATGGAATGGACAGCGCCGCGGAGGAGGGTCGAAGAGGGCCACTGGGGAAAAAAAAACAGAGAAAAAGCTGGATGGGTTTCAAGATGACACCGTCTTGCGCCAACGAGGATGATGAGTAAGAGAGAGAGAGAGAGAGGAGGGGGACGGAGTGGTCGGAACGGGATGGGTGAAAAGGGACCGAAAAGTGCTGGAAACGCGTGTCTTACAATGTTGCCTCACGGCACCTTTGTTCATCTAGTCGAAGGGTACGGGGATTCTTCCTTCCCCCGCCTCTTTTCATTTCTTCAACTTTTTTTTTTCCTTTTCAGATCTGCTTTCCCAAGTCGTTGACTGGGTTGCGACTGATGTTGGTCTTTTATTCCCTTTTTGAGCGGGTGGTGATAGCTATGTAGCTTGCTCGTCGAGATGGCCATGTACAGGCTGAATATTGAGAAGAATGCAATCTGATTCGAAGACTTATCGAGACATGATCCATGTGATATGAGAGCATCAATACAGCGACCCCGGCAATCGGATTGAGTTTGGTCCATGGGAAAAGGCGCAAAAACGAAAAATGGTTTCGTCGTTGACTGGGATTGAACCATGTGCGAGAACAACTGTGCCCAAAAAAGGTACTTCCAAACACCACAAAATGCATCACCAACAAACAGCACACACTTCCAACGTCTGTCCCAATTGCCAACAAAAACAATCAGACAGACGGTTGGAAACGTGATGCACATGCATCTACAATACTTAATCAAAAAAGCCAAAAAATTGGAGTCGATATTTCTATCTTCATCCACGACCCCAAGCCCCCAGCGATCGTAATCCAGCACGCCATGCGACGGTGAAGATGCCTCTGCAGAGTGAAACCTCCCTCAAGTGTCATCTTCATTGCTTAGGGCCACACGCAGCGATCGCAGGTTACCCGTGCGAGTGGGTGGCCACCGCAGCATTCGCACTGGGCGCCGCTGAGGGGTTCCAATGTGGATGGGGTAGCGGAAGAAGAATAATGAAAGCCTTCAACCATTTGACCATTACAGCCGGTAATTGCGAGCAAAAATGTGCTAGAAGTAGGGTTGGCGGCTGGAGGGGGGACGTGCGATGGTAGACGGGTGGGGCTGATGAGGTAAGCAGCTTGTTTCTGCTCGCGTAGGCGTGGGTGGGAGCTTGTGGCACTCAACGCGCCGGCGAGCATCTCCACCGAGCACCGATTTAAGCTCACCCACCCCAGCTTGCAGTCCTGGTCGAAGTTGACTTCGCGATTGCACCCAGGGGTTCTGGCTCTGCGAAGCTCTGCGAAGCTCTCACCAATCCCCCGAACCAAACCACCAAGCCGTCTCGAACCCGCACGACCTCAATGGCACAATAGCAGCCCCCTTACGGTCCTCACTTTTCGAGCTTCTGCTCCTCATAGCATACAACCCACAACTAACTCCACGATGCTCGCAACCACCCCCCGCCTCCACGTCCGGCGCCCCTCGCCTACAACAGCCGAATTCACAGTGACAACCCGCCCGCCACCAACCCTCACAGTCCGCGTCTTCTCAGCCCTCCTCTTCACTCTCCGCATCCTTCTCTTCTTCTCCTCGATCTTACTCCTCCAAGCAGCCCTGGCAGAATCACCCTACGCCGCCTCCCTCCTCTCCGCATCAACAAGAACAAAACCCACCGCAATCGCAACCGCAACCGACGGCCCAGACGCCCTCTTCTCGAGCGCGACACTGTGGCAGATTCTGTTATTTATAAGAACCTCGGCGCCAGGCCGCCTAGCGCACGCCGTGGCAGCATCGCACGCGATACCGCTACCCGTCCTGGTCCCGGGGTGTCTGCTCGCGGTGTACGTGACGCTGAAGCGCACGCATACCACTGAGAGTCTACTCGTGCTGCGCGGGCTGGGGATACAGACTAGTTCGACGAGCGGGAGCTACTTGTCGGCTGCTGCGACGCGGTTCATACCTACGGAGAAGATTCAGGACGTACTAGTGAATGAGGCGTTCAGGGGCTTCGAGGTGCGGTACTATTTGATTGTCATTGTCGAAGGGGAGGAGGATATCGTTGTCGTTTTCCCGAGGATACTGCCGAAGAAGAAGATTGTTGAGACGGTGTGGAGGGGCGTCAGGGGGTGTCTTTGGGAAGCAGATGGAGGGAGTGGTAATAGGAAGATGGACGATAGATGGCAGAATGGGGTATAACAAGTCCCCCGTAGCCTTGACGAATTCATGATCTGATCAAAGCTTTCTGCTTTACTTTATTGTTTATGATAGGGGGCATATGCCCATGGCCTACTCATCCCCATCGCCCGCGGCAGTAGCCTGCTTGGCATCCTTAATGACCTTCCTCCAATTCTTCGACTCCCTCATCTCATCAGAGTTCTTGAACCCCTTACGCTGCGCCCACCGGTCATTAATCTCCGCCGGCGACGGCGTCAGCTGCTTCTTCGCAATCGGCACGTACCCGCCCGACAGCTTCCCCTCGTGCCCGCCCTGGAACACCCTCTTTCCTTTCGCCTTCGACTCGGTCCCCTGCACCTGTCTCGAGACGAGGTCCAGGAGACGGTTCGCGAGCAGCTCGTCCATCTTCTTTTCGCGGTAGTGCGACCACAGGTTCTCGACGACGTCGGCCTCGCCGTATACCCAGTGTAACGCATTCTCCGCGTCGTTGGATGTCCGGCTCTCATCGTCGCCTGGGAAGACGCAGTTCCACAACACCAGCGGCGTCTCGTGCGCGAGGTCATAATTCGGCTTCCGCGGCGTGTTCTCCACGTCGAGTAACCGCGTCACGAGGTCGGGCGTCTCGAGGCGCTGGCCGATGAGGAAGAGAATAGTGACCATATGCCGGATCTGATGCCACAGGAACGCCGTCCCGCGGATATTAAACGAGTACACCTTGGGAAGCTGGCTTCCATCGACAGCGCTAGCGCCCAGGTACGGCAGCGCGGTACCCACGTCTTTCACCTCCTCGACGCCGGCCTCGAACATGCGTCGCTCAAAGTTTGTAATCTGCTTACTCCCGTCCACCTTGCAAAAGTTACGGAAGTCGTGGCTGCCGATGAAATTCTGCGCCGCCTGGTTCATGGCGTCGATGTCGAGGTAGCCCTCCTTCATGCCGTCCGGCGCGCCGTCGACGCTCGTCGCCGTGGGCGTGAAGGCGGGCTGGGTGAAGAAGTAGCGGTACTGGCGCTCCTCGCACGAGAAGCGGGCGGAGAAGTCTGGTGGAGGCGAGGGGCACCATGCGATGATGCGGATGTCGTCGGGCAGGAGGCGGTTGAGGACCTTGACGTATTGGATCTCGTCGTTGATCTCGTCCCAGACCTTTTCGGGCTTCTTTTCTTTCTGTTCCTCCTCGACCTTTTCCGTGCCCTCCATGGGAGTGTCGTCCCCTTCCGGCTCAGCGGCTGGCGCAGGATCCTCCTCTTGCTTCTTCTTGGGCACCGGTCTGTTACTCCGCACCCTCAACCCGATGACCTGTCCAAACGCACTCACGCCGCGATCCGTTCTCCCGCACTTGGAGTACTCGCAGCAGTCAAAGTTGACGACATCCTGATCCTCTGGGAAGATGAGGCACGACTTTGTCAGGGCGTTCCACAGCTCGCCCTCGATCGTCGGCAGACTCGCCGAGGTGGCGTATTCGAATCCTCCGTACCGCTTGCCCAGGTACGCCAGCTTCAGCGCGATGAAGCGGGTAGAGTACCGCGACGAGTCGATCCGCTTGGCCTCCTTCTTCCTCTTCTTCACTGGCGGGGCCCCGTCCGTTGCTGCTGCTACCGCGGCACCGGCACCGGTGCCGCTCTTGTTGTTGCTGGGGGTCCCGGACCCGACTCCGGAGGCCTTTGATGCCGCATCCCGCTTGTCGAGTTCATGCTCGAGCTGTCTTATGCGGGAGATGAGACGCGCCTGGTCCCATGACTCGTACCGACCGCTCACATCGGCCATGTTTGCGACGGGAGCGGTGCTGAAGCGCCTAGCCGCGACTTTGGAGGGTGGCCGGTAAGGATGAGTGAGATGCTGGTGAGTAGTAGTGAAACTACGGAGATGTTGGTGGTGGTGGTGGCGTTGATATTGCCCTTGGGCCAAAACTTGTGAGGAGCCGTGTAATAGGCCTCCAGCGTGCCTCGATAGGTTCAGACTCGGGCTTGGCGGGCAATGCAGACAGAGACCCCAAAACAATTCATGTAAGGGCTTCATATGCCCTCTCTTTCTCCTCTCATGTGAGTTTACGGGAAATTTTTGGAGGGGTGGTGGTGGTTTAGACGCGGACCGGCATCATGCGGGTACCTTTGGGCCTGAAAGAGTCACTTTGGAGGGGCCGGCGCATGCAAGTTGAGTGACAGCCAATTTTTATTTTTTTATTTCTTAACATCAACTTTTTTCTGTCGCCCTGTAGAAAACAAGATGTGGCTTGTGCTGTGGCTGCAACTCGACTCCACACTCTCATCCTCCCCTCATGGAGAAAGCCGAACCGTTGCGACGGGACCAGTGGGCGTGGAATGGGCACTGTGTTTCTTGCGCTGGAGTCTTGGCTTAGTCCGCACCAGGCCTTGGCCTGCGCCATTTGTTCCCCAGACATCGCCGTATCTAGACGTCCCCATCGGCATTCGCCCGAACCAGCCGTTGCGTTCCCTTGAAAGGTTTTACAATCATGGAAGAGGAATCAGTCAAGATATTATTAGTTGGTGATGAGAAATGTGGAAAGACATCGTTCCTCTCGTCCGTATGCCCTTTATCGAGATCATGCCATGGGGGTCTCACAATGCTAATGAAATGTGCCCCTGAAATAGACGGCTGAGCGCCGGCGAAGGCACCGGCCCCATCAGATTGCTCAGAGATATTGACCAACCCTTTATTTTCGAGATCAAGTTTTCTGGAAAACCATACCGTCTAGAGTTTTATGATACAAATAGCCCCGAGAACTGGAAGCTTCTCGAGCCGGACATTGTCATACTGTGTTACGACATAAGCCAGCGGCTGAGTCTCATCAACATGAGGAGACATGTATGTTCTCCTGAATGACTCTCTCTCTCCTCTCTCAGTGTCCTGTCTGACATCCGATACAGTGGCTTCCAGAGGTCAAAATGTCCTTCCGCAGGCCCGACCGCTTGCCCATTCTCATGCTGGGTCTCAAGAGAGACCTACGATCCGAAGACGACCCCAACGGGATCATCTATCCCCAAGAAGCATACCAGCAGGCGCAGGAGATCCGCATAGACAAGTACATGGAATGCTCCGCGGTGACGGGCGAACTGCTCAAGCTGGCGTTTGAGGAGATTGGTAAAACCGCAATCATGACGCGGAAGGCCGAGGGAGGACAGAGCGAAGGCGGTTGTGTCGCCATGTGAGATTTGCTGCCTTGTCAGGGCCACTCTGTTGTTCCACTCCAGGAAGAAGATGACACCCTAGAGAACTCGGTGCCCTCCAAAGAAGAGGACATATCAGAGGAATCGGCCCCGTTCAGAGCGAGTTGCGAAGTGTCATGCGGCAAGGCTTTCTAAGCAGCGCCGTTCGCAGCCTCCTCGGCCCCTTCTTCCTCCCCTGCCTCCTGGGGAAATGAGCCGAGCACTTCAGCAATGATGTTGACCATCTCCTCCTGCTGGTTCTCATCAAAGCGCTCAGGCATCTCCTCGATGACGGTGTTCAGAGCGGCGACGGATGCTGGGCGAAGGTTCAGGATCATGATGACCTCACCCTTGGCCAGGTCATAGGGCTGAAGCTTCCCCAGGAGCTGGGTGATACAGTCTGGGTGATAAGTGATGGGGTCCTGGCTGAGTGGGTTTGGTGGTGTCCGCAGATACTGGAGGAGCTACATATGTGTCAGCTATGACTTTATTACACAGAAGCAGATACCCAATTTTCATTGCATGTATAACTGATATGAAGTCAGACTCACCTCTCTTGCCAGTGCTTCAAGGTTGCCGGGGCCGCGGCGCTCTCCACGCTCACGCTTCTTCTGACCAAGCTTGCGCTCATTCAGATGTTGATAGACCTCATAGTTGGTCAAAACTGCCGACTGAGCCTCAAGGATCTTCATCTTGGTTGCGTGCTTGGCGCGGGGGACGACTAGGTTGCGATTCTTGGGTAGAGGAGAAGGTGTGATGCAAACCGTTTGATACCAGGTGGCAACGGCGGCAATTGCGTATCGGCCCAAAAGAGTGCGGAAAATGCAAGCTGCGCAGGCGCTTGGTGTTTGCGGAAAATTGACGTGTCGGTGTGCAAGGTGAAGAGGCTAGGCCAATGTACCAGTCACTCAAAACGGAACCTCGCAGATGCTCTTTGAGAGGGCCGGGAATAGGCTGTTCAAGTGGTACAACCTTGGACAAGCTGACGTTTAATTTGACAAGGGCGGGTGACGGGTGACGGGTGACTCTACTTTGGAGTCTGTCAAGGAAATATCGGGTCGCCTCGAATCCAGCTGTAACTTGTGAGAACCTAGAAGAGTCAGATGAGGTAAAGGGACTGTGTAATCTCGTAAAAAGAATTACACTTGTGACTGTACGGATTCCGGGCGAGCAATGGAAGGCAAGGTACGATGCTGCCGCAAATTCTTCTTGACAACCCAAGTGCCCCGCGGTCAATGGCCGGCACGGTTGGCAACGAGCTGCAGGGAGATAAAAAGGCAAGCAGAAAATCAGGTGCATTAACACAGCCCAAGGCGCCAATCACGATGCTCAGTCCCCCACTCTGCCATGTGCTAAATTGTCGCAGAGTACGTACCGGATCTGGAATTGCGCAATGGGAGGGGGAAAGAGCGTTGGCGTTAGGTTGGCGGCTTCAGATTCGAAGTAAGCGCCTCCGCTGGCCGGTGGCCGCTTGCTCCTGCCTGCGGCCCTGCCACCTGCACCTCTCGTCGTTAATACAAGCCGGTCGGTTACTCGCGTTATTTCACTCCTTGTTAGAACAACTACCTAGGTACTCAATACAGTACACTAATAAGGTAGGGGGAGGTGTGAGATTCCCCAGGTACTCTTTTCCGCCTCATTGTCATTGTCAAGGAGCGCTATTTTCTGGATGTACATTCAAGAGGCATATACTCTGTCTGCATTATCCGTACAATCACGAGGCAGCCAGACTTTTTGACAAGGGGATGGACTGCAGAATGTCCACATCATTCGGCATATCGCAGTCAGAATTAGAACAAGAGTCACTGCTGCATTCCGGGCAGCGTTCCACGAATCCAATGCAATCCAATCCTCCCTGTACGAAGTCAGTCGTCGACACTGTACTTCCGTACCTGGTCGCCTGTGTCTCCCGCCGCCGTCACCGCCCTCGCATCGCTTCAGGCATCTCCGTCACCGGTATACGGCACTCTGCGTGAGGCTCGGCGTGTCTGGGCAGCCTGGCAACGACCGGAAGAATACAGTGCATGGTTAGAACGTCGTCGGGGCGCAAAATCTCTGCGAGACTGCCAGAGATCGGAGTCATGAACGTACACACAAGCGCGACAAGGTACCTGTGCTAACCTAAAATGGCCCTTTCTACACCCATTTACCCTGTGAGGGAGCCCTGTGCAATCTCTCTTTTTACCCCACCACCAGGCATTTCCACCTGCCACCCCCAAGTCCACATGGCGGCGACTGCACCCGACCCCGATTCCTGCCAATCCCAAACAAACTTATCCACTCAGAGATTTTCCTTTACAACTTCTCGACAACCCCAGCTTCAGACAGAATTCCCCCCCGCTACCAGCTTTTCCCTCCTCCCTCTCCTCTTGAGCTTGTTCGTCATGCTCCCGTTGTGATCGCATCTCTAGAGGCTTTCCCCCTCATCCTCGCTGATTGCTCTCCAGCTCTCTAGCATCTTTACCATACAATTCCCTTCTACGCATACCCTCGGCTTCGGCACATTCCAGTCCCTGTGACGTCGCCCTGCACCCCACTAGCAGATTTTTGACGCCTCCAGCAAACCCGACACCGGCTCTTTCGCTCGCGATCCTCCAACCCGCACACGACACCTTCGAACCCTCAAAAAATACCTGGGGTATCTTTCTCCACAACCATCTTCGAATACCCTAGCTGCGAGATACACATCACAGCTCCGGCCTCGACGCCCTATCCTCTTCCTAGTTCCTAGTCATACCCTGGAGCGGTTCTAGGTTCAGCCTCCAATATCGCCGGTTTCGCCCGACCACTATTCTTCTCTTCTTCATTCAACCATTGCTTCTCGAGCAACCAGCAACTATTCACAATGGTCCGCAATATCATTGTTCTCGGAGGCAACTCCCACCCCGAGCTCCTTAACAGTGTTTGCAACAACCTCGGGCTGAACCCATGCGAGCGCATTCTGTCAAAGTTCTCTGTTGGAGAGAGTCGCTGCGAGATCAAGGACTCTGTGCGCGGCAAGGACGTCTTCATTGTCCAGACTGCCTCTGGCAATGTCAATGACAACTTCATGGACTTGTGCATCATGATCTCTGCCTGCAAGACGGGCTCCGCCAAGAGAGTTACGGCTGTCATGCCTCTGTTCCCTTACTCAAGACAACCCGATGTCCCCTACAAGAAGGCCGGCGCACCTCTTTCGAAGTCAGCAGCAGGGACATCCAAGAACTACACCTTTGAGAGTGTGCCTGCGACCCCGGGTCCAGGCATTGCACGCAGCATGGGTCTTCCCAACGGCATTGACGGCATTGCCTCAAAGCTGGCTAAGAGCAAGCTCAATGAGGAGCGTTCTAATGGAATGAACGGCGTCGACCATTCCAAGACCAATGGCAACGGTCGTAACCACCACGATTCTGTATCCTCCCAAGTCAGCTACACCAACCACGACAACGAGCAACAGAACCGAATCGATGGCTTCCAGTCCAAGCCTGGATACAAGCAGTGGGTTGCCCAAGCTGGAACCCTGGTCGCTGACCTCCTGGCTTGCGCTGGTGCGGACCATGTGGTATGTACCCCCGAAAAGATCCCCTGAGAACAGCTCGAGAGAATGTTCAAAGGGGCTCAAAGGATCTCGCAAAACCAAACTAACAAAACCGCAGATTACGTAGGTTTCCTTCCCCATCATCCTTTGTGTGGTGCTTTGTGCCACGCAAAGGCCATTGCTACGAATTCCTCTGGGGCTTTTCAAGTGCTCTCTATACCTGCATCGCTTCATTGCTTCCTTCTGGAGCACATGCTAATGATCGCAGGATGGATCTCCACGATCCTCAGTACCAGGGCTTCTTCGATGTCCCGGTCGACAACTTGTACGGCAAGCCTCTGCTCATGAGGTACATCCGCCAGAATATCCCCAACTACAAGGATGCTGTGGTTATCAGTCCCGATGCTGGCGGAGCCAAGCGCGCCACTGCCATCGCTGATGAACTGGACATGGCTTTCGCCCTGATCCACAAGGTAGGTCATTACTCCTCACGGGAGGAGGCACAGGATTCATGTTTTCTTTCACAGGAGCGACGCCCGACCAAGTACACCGAGCAGCGCAATGCCAGCATGATGCTGGTGGGTGATGTCAAGGACAAGGTCTGCATCCTCGTTGACGACCTCATCGATACCGGCAACACCATTACGAGAGCTGCCAAGTTGCTCAAGAAGGAGGGTGCTACTCACATCTATGCCCTCTTGACGCACGGCATTCTCAGTGGTGACGCCATCCCGCGTATCAATGCTTCTGCTATCGACAAGATGGTCGTGACAAACACCGTTCCTCAAAAGGACCACATGCGTGCCTGCTCCAAACTCGAGTTCTTGGACGGTGAGTGTTCTCGAATATTACTGTGTCCTGGTGGAACGTAGCTAAATTTTGGTAGTCTCTCCGGTCTTTGCGGAGGCTATCCGTCGTGTCCACCACGGCGAGTCGATCAGCGTCCTTTTCCAGCACAACTAAAAGCATCATCACGTGGCGTTCGAAAAGAAACATCGGGTTTTTGCATCGGAGGGTTTATTGGATTCCACCAACTGCTTTCAGGGAATCTTAGAAACCGTTGGTGTTGTTTTACTGGCGTTCAGCACAGGGGGTGGGTTGAGTGTGGCATCTTTTCTTACGCCATGGACATTCTAGACGTTTTCCTCTTTTACCCGGACTTATCAACAACATACCAGCTCGTTTCCCATTGGAAATGATGCAAACCAGTGGCAGCCCCGTTTGGCTAGCCACATTGCTACACACAAAAAACAAGATACTTAGAACCTCGTTCGTAAGATGGAGGCTCTATGCACAGCGGAACAGCGGACCCGAAGGGGGAGCTTTGCTATACACACAAACTTTTCATGTCTGATGGGTTACATTTGTCCGTTTTACTGTTTGCGACTCTGAACGTTTCTTTCATGATTTTGGGACTTGTGCGAAACGGGGGCCAGTACAGTGCTGCGCAATAGTCTTCATCCCGTCCACATAACATAAACATATCCGTAGAAGGTTCTGCCGCTTGATGATCGTCAGCGTGCTCGTAGACAAACCGTGACATATATCTGAAATAGAAAAGAAATCTAGCAATCAAGATGTACAAAACCTCTGTCAGTTTGAAGGCGAATTCTATGTGCCGTTATGGTGTTGATGGATGGGGCTGGTGAAGGCTTGCACATGTAAAGTGCTTTTTCACATGTCAGATGCACCTATCAAAAAGGACGTTTCAATCTGTCATCCTCTTGTAAACAGATAGTACCCCAAGCCAGACGCAATAAAACAAGAGGTAATTGAATCTAAGTTGATGAAGTTCCAAGAGAAAAAAGCAAGGATGTCGGAACAAACTCCTACCAGCCAAGAAGTCTTCTCCCCCAAACGTCTCCCGACCCCAAACTCCCCAACTTGCCGCCGGGGCCCCACCGAGCCGCGATTTCGCGGGGTACATTCTTTTGCTTATCTTATCGGGGCGATGGAAGCCAAGCTCTCGCCCCGCCAACCCGCCGAGCTTCCCTCTCCGGGGAAGGGGATGCTTAAACCGAACGACATCTTTGCCGTGAATTTTGAGCCTCGGCAACGACGTCAGACCAACGAGGACGAGCAGCATTTTCGAACCCACAACTCGAGTGATTTCTCACATCTCTCTCCCGCGCGTTCGTAGACAATCCAGGTCTGGGTGACTCCAGTAGCATTCTTCATAACTGGGCCATTCGCAATGGCGACCCTCTCCGGCGCAGAGCGCATCCGCGCAATCACAGATGAGGACGGCATGTTCAAGGCCTTTGATACGTACCCTTGGAAAAGAGACAAGATGTTCACGGTATGCCTCCCTCGTAGCACCGCCACTCATTCTTCTTCAGCTATCTGACGAGGTGGGTGTCGTATAGTCCGGCCTCTACGCGATCCTTGGCGATCCAAACACGGAAAACCCGCAAGGCACGCCCACCGACCTCGCGATCCACGCCCGGATATTCTACTACGCCCAGCGCATCGGCGTAACCATTGATTTCGCAAAGTACAAGGACTGGCTCGCGAAGCACCCGGACCATACACCCCCCGACGTCCTGCCCGAAGAATACAAGACCAACAACACATCGAGCACAAAGGGTGCCTCCTCCTCCTCCTCCTCCACCACCACCACCACAGCTCCGGCAGCCAGCAGCGCAGCAGAACCATCAACAGACGACGTCCCAACACTAACATCAAAGCTCGACAACCTCAACACCAGCGAGGCCACCCCCGCAAACCCAGCAACAACAGACTCATCAACAACCCCCGCAGACGAGGCAACGCCCTCATGGCAAGCAGCAGCCCCCAAAGCAGACCTCTACGTCGAACGCAAAGCACAGCCGCAGGAGGGTGCCCCAGGCCAAGGAGGCGATGAACCAGCGTACCCAATGGGTTTCGCGCAGATGCTGGAGATGATTCAAAAGGGGATTCCCATCCCCGGCATCAGACAGATCCCAGATACTGTCGTTAGAGACGCAGTGAGTATCACCTCCTTGTGTTTCCCTTTTCTCTCTTCTCTTCTCTTCTCTTCTCAAGAACTCAAGACCATTACTGAACTTGCAGTCTGTGAAACCGTTTGGGAAACGTGCGGTGCCCAAAAAGCCGTGGGAAAAGGATGTCGCAACTACAGAGGCGGTGGAGCAGCCATCTGTAGTCGACTCCGAATTCCCGCCGTTAGATGACGCTGTATCACCTGGAGCAGAGGCAGAGCCTGTAAGCAAAGAAACGTAAAACGATGCATGGTTAGAATCATGCAGGGTTCGGTAGGCAATACGGATGGCGTTCGGGAGAGGAGCATAGGGGTACAATGCTTGTGGACTACTACAGAGTTGACAGTGTCAAGCAAAATATTACAAGCCCGACACGGGAAGTTTCCATCTACGAGTTCGCATAAAACAACCGAGGGGACCACGTTACTTTTAAAAGAATCATTTCTAGGGAGCTACCTTATGCTTGGTCGAGGACTGCCACAGGTGCTGTCCAAGCTGGACCAAGGCTGCACTCCAAAGTCTTCGGAATGTGATACATAACTACATACAATCATTGTCTTTGACCCTTGGTCTGATATGCCATGCTTGCCTAGTTGTCCATCCTCTCCGTCCTCTCCATCCTCCGGGTTTTCCAGTTCGAATTTTGATGAGACTAAAGGAGTATCAAAGAGGTATGTGGATGTGTCGATGAACCGCCATGTATAGATGCGAGCATTCTGGCTGGGCTTCGTGATACAACTCCAACGCCCACTTAGGGTTTCGAGGTCACACTGACGCACCTCCATATCGCAAAATCCGTAATCATGAAGTGTCCAATGCACTCAGACAAGTGATAACCTGCCGAGCGTAGGATGACAGCTGATTTGTAAATTAATGGCCGAGGAAGATGTTTTGTAAGCACGGACAAATGAGGTGGTGCAATGACTTTGTCAAAGTTGAGGGAAATCGAATGGGGTGACAAGGAATTAGGGGAAAGAGGTCCTATAGTGACGCAGAGAGAGAACAGTTGAGAAGTTGATGGTGACAGTATGAAAAGATGGTGACAAAGTCTAACGGTAGCCGCTGCCACCGCCGCTGTAACGAGGACCAGCACCCATTCGGTTCATGGCAGGGCCAACTCCGGGGCCGGGACGAGTAGCGACAGCAGGGTTGGTGCAAAGCATGCCCACACGAGATCCAAACTTGGAGCCGCGAAGAGAGACCATGTGCTTGCGAATGTGGGCGGCGACAACCTCACGGTGCTGCAGACCCGCATGAGTGAGGATGTACTGAATGAGATAATTGCCGTACTGGTCGCTTGCAATGTCGACGAGGGGGATGCGAGGGCGATCAACGCGACCCTCGCAGACCCGATCAAGATAGCGGCTGAGGAACTCTCCCCCTCCAATCTTGAGGCACTTCTCGACAACCTTGGAGGCGTACTGATCAGTGCTGTATTCGGCAGCGTAACGAATGACATGGTCGATAGCACGGCTTCTGTCCGCTGGAGCGCCATGCTCACAGATGTGCTGAATGCACCAGTTTCCGAACTGTCCGTGAGCCACGATGTCAATGTTGGCAAGGACTTCCTCAATGCAGGGACGCTACAAATCCATAGTTAGAGACATGTGCAGAAAACAGGGCGGGAAAATATCAGCATACCTTATCTTCCTCGAGACAATTCTCGAAGATATTCTGGACAACCAGACTGCCAGTTTCGCCCAAAGCGACTTCGTGCCACATGCCACGCAAAGCCTCATTGACGAACTTCATGATTTGGGGCGGGGATTCGGACCATCGAAGCTCAAAGAGCTTCTGCCAGACATGACAGGCGTAACGATGAATGACGGTCTCGGGAATTCTGCGAAGGAGTTCATGGACCATAATAGCCTTGTAGTCCTCGGGGACGGAATCAAATGCCTTCTGAACGACGTGGCAACCGAATGGGTCCATGGACAGGTTGAGAGTGTTGCCGCGAATGGCTTCCGCGATCTTAACAACCTGCTCCGGAGTGCCGTGCTCGAAGCAACGCTGTACAAGGAAGTTGCCAAAACGGTTGACCATGAGAGGATACGCTTGAGCAACGATTGCCTCCACGATCTCGTACTTCTGGTCCGGAGTGCCAACCTTGAGCTTCTGTTGTAGGAAGATGGAGGCCTGCTGGTCATTGTTGCAGACAATCTTATCCACAATGTACTTCCAGTTGCAATTGACGTTCCGGTCCAACAAGCGGCGGTAGTTGAGAGGCTCAGTAGTTGGCAGGTACGTCTGTCCCTCGGTAGCAATGGCCTGTTGGGGATGGAACATTAGCATTTTGCATCAAAAGTTCTGTCTGTCATTGTCACGTACCTCGCTCTTCCATCCATCACCAGTGGTGAACTCAGTTGCATGGGGCGACAATGAACTTCCTGGGCCCTGCTGGTTGAAGCCTTGATAGCCCATGTTGCCTGAAGCGCTACCAGGAGGACCGCCCATGGGGTCGAACGGAGCAGGAGAGGGAGTGAAGCCGCCATAGTTATGTCCAAAGTTGGTTCCACCGTATGGCTGAGGAGATGGCCAGCGGCTGTTGTCGAAGCGGTTGTTTCGGCGACTGCTAGGGGGCCGAGAGTACATCTCGGGTTCGTGGCTCATGCGATCATTGCGATAACCATCCGCCATAGAGTACGGACCAGCAGGGTCCATATAGCCCTGGTTGAAGCCGCCGCGTCCGCCACTATACCAATCACCACCAGAGTCGGAAATGGGAGCAGCTGCACCAAAGGAGAGAGGAGCTCTGTTGTTGCCCCAATGGCGGGGACGACTGTAATTGTTGATGGAAGGGGCGCCGATATCCGAGGAGTTGTCGTCGGTAGGCCAGGCGTTCTCAGCTCCGAATGCTCCCAGGCGAGCCGCAGGCGGAGCCGGAGCGATGTCTTCTTCTTGCTTGACCGAGCGCGACTGAGCCAGCTCGTGGTCGAGGCGAGAGATCTTGTTCTGTGCTCGGGCAAGCTCCATCTTCAGTCGAAGGAGCTCATCCACGTTGCCGTTGGTCTCTCTAAGAGCGGCACTGGTTGGGCGACTCGTGGGTGCGGTCGTGGGGAACGAGTCCGTGGCAGGAGTGATAGGGACCGAGTTCGTCGTCGAAGAAGCCTTGTCGAAGTGACGGGAGTACAAGCTGTTCTCATCAGAGTTCTTCAAAGCCTCGTTCTGTTGATCGAGGGCAGCTTGCTGCTCAGATAGCTTGGCAAGGAGCATATCCATAGGGTTCGTGCCAGCAATAGTGTCCTGATTGGTCTTCTTCTGTCGTCGCTGTGAGCGAAGCGGCAGATTGCGGGAGGAAGAACCAACCTTGAGAACATTCTGATTGGCAAGCTTGGACGTAGCAAGAGTCGCAATAGTTTGCTTCTGCTTGAAGGCAGGGAGACCCTTTGATTTTTGTTAGCCCAGAGCTCTGTCTTGATGGAAAAACTTGTATTATACGGCAGAAACCAAGGGCAGAAAAATCGATAGACATTCAAGACAGCGTTGAGTAAAGGATTCTACTTACCGAGGCGGCTGACTCGATGGAAGGCTGGCTATTCTCCTCTTCGTGATGAGGCTCCAAAGCCGGAGGAGAGCTTCGCTTGGGGGTCTTGGGGGTAAGACCCGCGGGGGGAGGTGTAGACATCGCGGCGTCGGACAATTTCTTCTTGGGGGGTCAATACTTTGCAGAAGATAGAAAACAAGGTAATGCCGTAAGGTGGCAGACAAGTTGAGAAAGATTCCTTGGGAGGGAGACGCAAAGAAGAGTGCTGATGGAGATCTTCTCTGCGGTGACGGGAGAGGTTTGTTTGTGTAGGGATTGTGGAGGGGAAAGGCGAGGAAAGCTTTTTGTGGTGGGAATGGGAAGAGAATGGTGGATGGGAAGGTAAGGTAGGAACGAGGAAGGAGCTCGAGTTGGTGTCGGGAAGGAGGCAGTCCCGGGCAACACAGGCACCTTTTTGAAGGCCAGGCGTACGAAGGCCCTAATCGAAGCTACTGTGGGCCAGGACAGAATAATCTGAAAGAGCTGAGATCGTGTAGTCGATTCCGAGTTGAAGGAGGAATGATGAGCTGCTGCTGCTTGGCCCGGCGAAGGAAGGGCTCTTGTCGAGGGTGTTGAAGTCGGAAGGAGATCGCGACTCGGCTGACACTTAGCACAGTCTTCTTAATTTGGACGAGGACGTTCCGACTTGCGTACGCAGGTACCGCAAAGGTCTTTCTACAGGTGAAAGAGCTTTCGGCCTGCTCCATATTCCAGGTGAAGGAGGAGAGCCTGGCCAGCCGGCCTCTGATTATTCACCACTGCCTACCTTAGTGTCGCCTAATCATCAGATGATATTCAACTTGAGGGGAGAGCATATATCGCTCCTGCTGCCTTGCCCCAATCTTCTCATCCACCCTCTGAAAAGACCCAGCCTTTTGCTCGTATGCTTATCCAGTTGTGCCAAGGGCAGTAGGAAGAGAGAAATCGCAGATGCAGAGCCGAGGTCAGAGGGGATTGTTTCTAACACCAACGGAAGTAGAAGATCCTATGTCTTTGACTGCCAATAGCTCCAAGCAGCACGCAATGTTGTTCAGCACCTACCGACCAAGGCAATCATTCAGCTAGGATTTAACGAAATAGGGATTGTTGTTTGAAACAGGAAACAAGGCTGTCTCTCAGAGAGACTTATGATTTTTTTACTCTGATATCCTCCATGGTATTTGTACACTGGCTGCCCTGTTGGTGGAGATCCTCCCTATGGCCCGCTGAAGCCGTGATCCACGGTATTTCCATACCATGCCTGTGCCTGAGGGTCCTTAGACATCCACATACTGTGACAGAGCCATCTGGGCTGCCTCGGTCGGCAAACGTACTGCCCAAAGTCTCGCCACTCTATATATATGGAGAGTGTCCTGGCGCGCATGGTTTCGAGGGATCCCTCGGTAGTTGCACATCGTATCGTACAATCAATTTCGTGGTAGACGTTTATCGCTTCTTGGGCTCGGCTGTAGAATAGTCAGCATGATCGTCCAATTGTGAGGCAGCAAACAATACAACTTACTCTTCGTCTTCTTCTTTTTCGGCGCACTCTTTCCTCGGGCCTTCAGTCTGTCTAGGCGTTAGCGGTAGCTCCTTCGCTCCCTTCAGCCCATGACGTACCCAGCAATGTGTTCCAAGCGGTCCATCTCTTCCAAGTCGAGAGTTGTGACATGAGGGCCGAACTCTCTCTGCACATCCTTGACGGTCACAACCTTGCGTGGGTAGTAGTCGGCGATAGCAGGTCCCTTCAATCGTTGGCGCAGGATCTTGTTGCCCGTCCTCACTCCCTCGGGGTTAAATACTGTCGCAAAGACTTCGCATTGGGCCTATAGAGGTTAGCGAATGAGCAGATATGCCAAGACATGGAAAATTACCTTCATGAGGTCCAACAACCTCGCGCGTGGGACACTCATCTTTGCAGGTCTTGATAGAGCTCTATCAGACCAGCCAGAAATTTGTCGCGAAGTCGAACAAGCTTGGGCGAACCTGAGTCCTGAATTGGACCCGCAAGATGAGATCTGCGCACTCCCATTGGTTGCGGTCTTGGGATCATCGATTGGCCGGCATTGCTCGGTACGTATCCACGTCCTTGTCGCATCCCAGGCTCAGGGACTGGATCCTTGCAGCAGAAGCACAGTGAGCTCCACCCAAGCATGGACTGCTTTTATTTTTGTTGCTTCTTGATGAGATGCTCACTGGGAATAAGACGTAAGTTTCGACATTGCGACGGAATACTCTCATTCCTATCGGCCACATTTGAATTTTCTCATTCTGACAACATCAACCATAACAGCTTGTCGTATCACTTGACCAGAAATTGCAGTCTCTTTGTCTCGAGGGAGAATCAAAATGAGCAAGCGCTCGAGTTCAGGAGCGCTGCCACCGAGCAAGCGAAGGCATGCCGAAAGCGAGGCAATAGACTTGCTTCTCGATCATGGCGATGACCTCATCAAATGTCTCCAGGCACTTACCAAGGCCCAGACAAGATCTTCTATCCATCGTGAAGACCTGCAGAAGATCCGGCAGCTTAGCAAGGTGTTATTGCCATCTTTCGAGCAGTTGGCCAGTGAAGGAAAAACACAGGCCCTCGAAAGCGGCGAGATCGACGAGAATGAGGTAAAGACATTAATTCCGTTTCATGCGTTGTCAATTCCTTGCTGACTTCATAGGGCAAGAATGCATCACACGAGAAGGGCCATTCCCCATTGACACCAAGGCAAAGCCCAGTGGTCTCGGGACCGCCAATACCGTCTTTCATCTTGGTCAAGCCGTGGACGCCGGCCGATATCCCGAAGACGATGCCGCCTCTTCCAAAAATTACGAATCCTGTCCTAGAGTTGGCGGCCTTCACCCATGTAGGCGTGGCCAAGCACAAATCGGATTTGAGTTACGACCGCCTTGAGTGGCTTGGAGATGCCTATGTCGAGTTGATCTCGTCTTCCCTCATTTTCCAAACTTTCGGAGGGATGTCAACGGGCCAGTGCTCGCAGATCCGAGAGCTTCTGATTCGCAATGCCAACCTGGGAGAGTACTCAACGCACTACGGGCTGTTCGAAAGAGCGAACCTTCCGTCCGAGTTTAAGCCCAGAGGTACCCAGCCGGCTGTGGCAAAACCACATGAAATCAAAAAGGTTCGCGGTGACTTATTTGAAGCATACGTCGCCGCCTTGGTTCTCTCCGATCCCATCAATGGTCTTACTCGAGTTGCAGAGTGGCTCAGGACACTATGGGCATCGACTATCAAAGACCAGATCAGGTCGGTTGCCAAGACGCCTGGGTTGCAGACAGTCAAGGAGCTGGGCGCAACGGTGACAGAAGAGTCCAGTCTACCGCCAAAGGTCCTCCTTAGCCAGGCTATTGGCGCTAATGGCATCACCATCCGTTACGAGGACTTGCCCAATGCGAACAAGAAAGACAAGTACAACAAGAAGCTGGCCCTTTTCAGTGTTGGAGTGTACCTTGACGGATGGGGCGAGAAAAATAAGCTCCTCGGAACCGGTAGCGACTTGAATAAGAAGGAGGCGGGCCAAAAAGCAGCGCAAATGGCTCTGAACAACAAGAAATTGCTGAAGGTGTATCAAGATAAGAAGAAGGCTTTCCTGGCTGCTCTTGGGGAGAAATAGGTGAGGTCAGAGTGAGGCGGTTGCACTATACCCATGATACCAGTTTCAATTGAAGCAACAACCATCTACGAAGATATTTGAGCCTCTAAGTGACGAAATTGCCCGGATATCTAGCGCCAGAAAGTACATAGCTGGAAATAGCTATTTGGGAAGTTGATACAGCACACCAGAAATATTAGATGAACTCGACTCGGACGTTCGCTGAAGTGTTAACCATACAAACCGCGTAGGTGCTCAACTTAGAAGCCGAGATGAGTAAAGAGCTAGTTGCCCAATGCCGAACAACGATGGACCTCCGTAGCCGCTATTGCTGGGACCCATAGGCCTCGGCTCAATATCAGCTCAGAACTTATACTGAAGTCTCAATTGACGGAACTCTAAAATTGAGGACGGAAACAAAACGAAAGACAATGGAACATCCCGCACATCCACGGTTGCCCGCATTTCACGTGCCTACATGTCTCTCTCGGCCGACACGCAGATGCCGCAGGCTACCGGTACCTAGCTTCAATCACACGCACAAGGGAGAGAAGACGCGGGGATGATGGGAGTAAATTACTAGTCGGGATCTCGGAGAAGCACAAACCCCTGACAAGCCCGCGTCAGGCCCGCGCACCCAGGTCCCACGTCCACTCTAAACTCCCCCAGGTGCTGGTGGGTTGGGGTCGCAGTTGGTTACGAGGGTGCGTTGCCGTTGCGCGGGCTTCGCTGCGTCTGCGTTGCGTTGCGTGACCCGCGGCCGAGGCAAACAGAATTTACCGGAAATCGCCCACACCTTCCGATGCTGCTAACATCGGCGCGAACCCCCCCAGTGGCCCTCCCAAGGGCCCAATTTAGAGACAGCTGATTGCCGGTACCGAAATACCTTTGCCTCATTGCCAGCACCCGCCATCACCGCCGCTACTCTCTTGCTATCCACCAGATCCCTTCTTTCTCTTTGGACGACGAAGGGAAAGAGTCCCATGGCGAAGCTCTCACATAATGCATGTCAGCGTGCTGGATCTCTAACTCTCTCCTTTTCCCAGCACCTATTGCTTCCCCATTCCGTTTCAGTTCCGGCTGCCAAGGTACCTCGCTCTACCGGCACATCCAGGTGATTTGCGGAACTAGGTTATCTGAGTTGCTATCTTCGCCTGGTGTTGTTGAGCCGAACCCAACCCCGACGCCCAGAATACCTCGGATATACCCCCATTCAACGAACGCGTCTTCCCTCCCTTTGCCAAATAATCACGTCGGTTCGGTCGCCTCGAGAAACGGCCTTCTAGATGGCTGACTCCGTGGGTGAGTGCAAGCAGAACCTTACTCTGCGCCTGTTGTGGAGAGAGCAATTCCCCGGCTAATTATGCGATTATGCCTTCTCTCTATAGATCGCGTGTTCGTCCATGCCTTAAATACCGTCAAAAAAATCCCCAAAACGGGGGCATCGCGTCCCCCGCCGTCCGACAGACTTCGACTCTATGGCCTTTACAAGCAAGCGATGGAGGGGGATGTCGATGGCGTCATGGAGCGGCCGACCTCGGCTTCCGGCATGCCAGCCGACGAGCTTCAACGCGAGAAAGACAAGTGGGATGCGTGGAACCTCCAGAAAGGTCTGAGCCGGACGGAGGCGAAGAGAAGATATATCGAGGCATTGATCGAGACGATGCACAAATATGCGACAACACCGTAAGCCCGCATACCCCCCCCTACTGTCACTGGAATCGCTCTTTGCGCATCGCAACCCACTGACTCGTCACTACAGAGACGCAAAGGAACTTGTCTCGGAACTCGAGTTCGTATGGAATCAGATCAAGAACAATAGCCCCAGCTCGACCGACTCTTCACCAAAAGGCACAGGTTACACCGGCGAATTACGACAATTCCAGCCACCCCTGGCTGGATCCGAAGGCCCCCTGAAGGTTCTCAGCCCCATGAGCGAGGACGATGCCGCAGATAGGAATTCAGATGGAAGGATAGGTTACGACGATGATGACGAAGGGGACGCGCTCGTACCCAGCAGCAACTGGTCTCGCAGCGTGGAGCGCGCGCTTGAGAAGCTATCCGCCGAGGTCGCAGCATTACGAGAGCAAATAACAACAGGGAGAGAGTGGAAGTCCAAAAAGTCACGAAGTTTCCCAGCCTGGCTACGATGGTTTACATGGGTTATCATGAAACATATAGCTATTGATATGGTGCTGTTAGCCTTTATCCTACTCTGGATGCGCAAGCGGAAGGACCGGCGACTGGAAGACTTGGTCCGGGCAGGGGTCAAGTTGATGCGGGAGTACGTTAGGAACGTCTTACCGGCCAGATGACAACTGTCTTGCCGGCAGCAAGAGAAGGCGAAGCTTTCAGGCTGATATAGCGTTGGCTCGATCAACAACACTGCAACTTGCTGGTTGTAGCGATACAAGTCTGCTGATCGTCTTTTTTGGCCTTCGGATCCCAAGCTTAGGAGGCTTCTTCGACAGCGTGACGCTTTGAAGTCAGTCTTGGAGTAGCGGCGTATGCTTCCATGACGGCCCGAATCCTTGTGCCCCTTTGGTTTACACAGGGGGAATGACCTTGTTCAAGGGACGGTCTTAATAGTGACGACAAAAAACCTCGCCCCTTGGAGATGGACAATCAAACCAGAATGTTCCCCAAAGGACATCACAAAAAAGGCCATAGCATGGGAAAGCAACCACACATGCTGAGCCAAATGCAGCAATTGGCCAAGTCTTCGGGGTCACGAGGCAGGAACCGACCGTACTGAACAGCCTACATATTCAGGATGTCCAGAGCTAGGACCGGCCTGATCATATAAATGTGATATCCAATAGCAGATAGTTGTAAACTCAAAATTTAGCGTTTCACTCTCATACCTATGCCGCACTTGGCTCAAACTCGTACTGAACCATTCACTGAGTACACCAGTGAAGTCAAGGAAACTTCAACGACCTCACTTAAAAGTGAGAAACAAACAAACAAGCCATGCTAACAGAGCCTCTGCAACGAAACTTGAATGCATCTTGTTCATGTGTGCCCATTGAGATTCGAGTCAATTCCGAAAACTAGTAGGACCGGGGTGTAAGTTAGGAGCCACCCTGAGACCGCGATCACAGACGTGGGACCTCAGCTTACTTTCCATTACAGTTTTAGTCCCACCTTCCCAAGAAGCTCAACCTCAACCTTTCGTCCTACACTTACCTCATCATATGACTCAATTCGATCAGGTCGCAACACTGCGAATTTTACCTGAGATGCGGTCAAGGCCCAGACTGGCACTCAGATTTCGATAATAGCAACGGATTTGTGGGCAAGATGCAAGAAGCCATAAGTGATCAGTCGGCGAGACTTGGAAAGGCAGGGGCCGCTGGCGATTGTACCATGGAGGTGGAGGAGGAGGAGGATATCCTACAAGCCGTGCCGGCTCTGGCGATGTTCATTCCTCTAGAAGAGAGCCTCTTCGATCCTTACGACGCTCCGCGTACCGAGATTGAGCGCATCAAGCTCTGCCAAGAGAACCTCGAAAAACACACAGCCGCCGTCGAGCAGAACCTTGTCTTTGTTTATGAGCGAGAGCACAGGCGAATCTTACAGGTAGCGAAACAAGAGGAAGCGGAAAACGGCTTCATTGAGACACCCGCGGGCCTCATGCAAGGCGAGGAAGCACTCATCATGGATTCGGTCCACGCCCCGATACCGCCCGGCGCCGATTACAACGACCGGCACCTGTCCACATACAAGCCTCCCGAGACTCCGCAAGTGATGCCTCCTAGGCCATCAGCACTTCAATGGTCTCTCTACAATGCTGGCCAAGCCGTGAGTCAACTGCACGGATACACCAACCACGCCCAAGAGCTCAAAGAGCCCTATCAAGAGATGTTGAAAGCTGCACTCGCGGCATCGTCTGCCAACCAAGGGCAGGGAGATGAGCCTGCTCGGAGCTAGAAGCGACAGAAGGTAGCTTGAGTAGCAGTCGGCGGAAGGGTCTGAGGAAGACCACAGGTACTGGGGATAGCAGGCAAGACCGTCGGAGACCTAAGGAGGATGGCCGCCCGACGAAATCGCTGTCATTGGGAGATTTCCGGCGTATGACGGCGATATGTCCGCCATGCGATTCGTGTACATCATAAGTGTACATAGACATCACGAGACATTAGTGAAAACGCACATACTATCTGAATCTAAGTCTCATCGTCATCATGATATGTAACGACCGGCGGTAAGAGGCAGCGGTCATTGAAGTAATCTCCCATGCTTCCATAAACGGCGTCAAAAAGCTTCATCTAGGTACACTAGATAGAGGAAGGCTCGATCAAGCATCTTGCGAAGCTCAAGCTCACCTACGATAAGTGTCCATACAATTTAAAGTGAAGAGGAAAAAGAGAAAGAGGCGCTCTGCGACGAAATTTTCCGCAGACTAAATGGTGCTCAGAGTGAATTATTGATGCCTCAGGCGACAGGTAAGCTCCCGGGATGGTCGACCAATCACGGTTGATGTAAATTAATCGCGATTTACGCACTAGCGCCACCAAATCCCCATGGTCCGGGACAGAAGAGCAGTTCCCTCCCGACGTCAACGATTGAATATCAATCCGCCTCTCACCCAAACGCCCTCCCCCGTTTCGTCAGAGTCTCAATCCGTCAAGGCGATACGATGCTGCGGCATTCATTAGCACGTTCGGCTTGGCGGACTGGCAAGCAGGCCGCCAATGCCTCGCGAACTTTTGCTACAACAGCTCGCAGGAATGCCGAAGTCGAACTGACTGTTGGTAAGGATGAACCCGCCCTCGCGAGGGGCTCAATTGGTTTCTATCGAGGTTGCTGACGAGATCTATAGACGGAAAGAAGGTGTCAGTTGAAGGTGAGCTGCAATGTGACCGTGTCCGAGGATTCCTACTCACGATCATCTAGCCGGCTCCGCCCTGATTCAAGCTTGCGAAAAGGCAGGCGTTACAATCCCCAGGTTTGTCCAGCCGTCAACAAACAGTCTGTATGGCATTAACTAACTACTCTACAGATATTGCTACCATGAGTACGACGACCCTTTCGATCGAATCGATGACCGCTGCGAGGGATGACCCCCGACTGACAAATACAACAGAAAGCTTGCGATTGCCGGTAACTGCCGTATGTGCTTGGTCGAAGTTGAGCGTGCACCGAAGCCTGTAGCCTCCTGCGCATGGCCCGTCCAGCCCGGTATGGTCGTCAAGACCAACTCCCCCATCACACACAAGGCCCGCGAGGGTGTCATGGAGTTCCTCCTCGCCAACCATCCTTTGGACTGCCCTATCTGCGACCAGGGTGGTGAGTGCGATCTCCAGGACCAGTCGATGCGATACGGTGGCGACCGTGGCCGCTTCCACGAAATTGGCGGCAAGCGTGCCGTCGAGGACAAGAACATTGGCCCCCTCATCAAGACCTCAATGAACAGATGTATCCACTGCACCAGATGTGTGCGTTTCTCCAACGATATTGCCGGTGCCCCCGAGATGGGTTCTTTCGGCCGTGGCAACGACATTCAGATCGGCACCTACCTTGAGAAGAACCTCGACTCCGAACTTTCCGGCAACGTTATCGACCTGTGCCCCGTTGGTGCCCTTACCTCGAAGCCTTACGCTTTCCGCGCGAGACCTTGGGAACTGAAGCACTCCGAGTCCATCGATGTCCTCGACGGCTTGGGATCCAACATCCGCGTCGACTCCCGTGGCCTCGAGGTTATGCGTATCCTCCCCAGACTCAACGACGACGTCAACGAAGAGTGGATTAACGACAAGACTCGTTTCGCCTGCGACGGATTGAAGACCCAGAGATTGACCATGCCTTTGATCCGCCGTGAGGGCAAGTTCGAGCCCGCCGACTGGGAGCAGGCCCTCATGGAGGTCGCCAACGCCTACCACCACATTCAGCCCAAGGGCAACGAATTCAAGGTTATCGCTGGTGAGCTGACTGAGGTTGAGTCCCTGGTTGCCATGAAGGACCTGGCCAATAAGCTCGGCTCCGAGAACTTGGCCCTCGACATGCCCAACGGAAGCAAGCCCGTCGCCCACGGTGTCGACGTTCGCTCCAACTACTTGTTCAACTCCAGAATCTACGGTATTGAGGAGGCAGATGCCATCCTCATCGTCGGAAGCAACCCCCGCCACGAGGCCGCTGTTCTCAACGCTCGTATCCGCAAGCAATGGCTTCGCTCTGACCTCGAGATCGGTGTCGTTGGCGAGACCTGGGACTCAACCTTCGAGTTTGAGCACCTTGGCCTCGACCACGCCGCCCTGAAGCAGGCTCTTGCCGGACCCTTCGGCAAGAAGCTCCAGGCTGCCAAGCGCCCCATGATCGTTGTTGGCTCCGGTGTCACTGACCACGTTGACGCCAAGGCCTTCTACGAGACCATTGGTGCCTTCGTTGACAAGAACGCTGCCAACTTCATCACCCCCGAGTGGAACGGTTACAACGTCCTCCAGAGAGCCGCTTCCCGCGCCGGTGCCTTTGAGGTCGGCTTCACCACCCCCTCCACTGAGGTTGCTGAGACTGCCCCCAAGTTCGTCTGGCTCCTTGGTGCCGATGAGATCTCTGAGAAGGACATTCCCAAGAACGCTTTCGTCGTCTACCAGGGTCACCACGGTGACCGCGGTGCCCAGATCGCCGACGTTGTTCTTCCCGGTGCTGCCTACACCGAGAAGGCTGGTACCTACATCAACACAGAGGGCCGTGTCCAGATGACCCGTGCCGCCACCTCCCTGCCCGGTGCTTCCCGTACCGACTGGAAGATTGCCCGTGCCATCAGCGAGTTCCTCGGTGCTCCTCTGCCTTACAATGACGTGGCCCAGCTTCGTGACAGAATGGCCGAGATCAGCCCGGCCCTGGCGGCCTACGATGTGGTTGAGCCCGTCGCTCTGCAGCAATTGAGCAAGGTTCAGCTGGTTGACCAGAACAAGGGCTCCAAGGCCAGCGGTACACCTTTGAAGAAGGTTATCGAAAACTTCTACTTCACAGACGTCATCTCAAGAAGGTATGTTGTTCGCAACACATTTTCAAAAACTTTGTCAAACATAGCTAACATGTACATCCAGTTCACCGACAATGGCCCGCTGCTCTGCAGCCAAGGCCAGTGGCAGCCCCAAGACCAACTTCATGGCACCAGGTATGGAGGAGGACAGGCCAATGGGCCAGATTGCGTACGGAGCATGAGGGACAGACTGTACGACTACGACCGTAGAGGGAGGAGGATGAAGATGAAGAAGAAAAGAGAGTTCCTTTGTTTGGGATGGATGCATTGCTTGTATATAATAGCACGCGCGGGTAGAGAGTTGCGGGTAGTTGAAGAAAGTAAATACCTTCATATCTCTTGTGTCTCGTGATACCTGGTCGATGTCATCTCCAACTGGCCGCCTTTAGTCAAGGAGCTTTACGAACCTACTAGGTAGCCAAGTGAGTGACAAGATCAGTTACCGCTCAATGAAACCTTGCCGCTATTCTTACCAGTACTGTCGCCATCGTAACCCTTTCCCCCCCCTTGAGCCAGTTAAGGTAGTTGATTGTCTATGAGCACGCCTTGGGATTACACCTTGAGAGATGCAGGCGAGGGGTATTAAGGGTAGTGGTAATGACGAAGGTGATCGTACAACTTTCCAACTCTATTAGTTACGCGCCTCGCCTCCACACACGCCTTCTACAAATTCTGGACTTCTCGACATCACGCATAATGATGCAAATAACACAGTCAAACCTGTGGCAAAGCTGCCGCTGCTTTGGCTCCGACGCGGGCCATACTACCAGCGATCTTAAGGAGTATCCATCAATCAGCAGCACTACGACAACGGAAGATAAACAAGTCAAGGATTATGGATGAACCGGCCGCACAGCGCAAACTGGCCGAACGTCTGTTAAAAGCAATGGAAACCCGAAAGAAGGAAGAAGACAAATTTCTCCAAGATGTAGAGAAGATCATGTCGAATCGTCGTCTTCACGATGAGAAGTTACTGGACGCCTTGAAAGCTTTCGAGGAAGCAAATCAACCAGTTTGGTGGAGAAAGTACCTTTGATCAGAACGATAGAGTTGAAATTTTCTATTCCCTTACGAGAGATGATGTTTCCTGACGTTTCCAGGTCTTTGTTCCCGCGGCTTTGATCACGTAAAGCTTTCAGTCGTGACGGTCACCGAAACAAGATCTCTGACTGGGCACACATGTCGATATAACGCTTGGGAATGGCAATCATGAACATTTTGGAATTAGTAACAGCACTTGAACATCATCAGGAGGAAATGGATTCCACCTAGTTTGTGACCCATTTTCAATCTGAGGCGCCTGACATTACCATTGAAGATTTACCATCTATATCCTGCATAACCTATGAGCTACAGCTGCACTGAATAGCCCTCTTCAACTTGGGCACATCTCCAACCCACCGGTCCTCCTCTGCCTTGTCACCCTTGCACTCCTGACCGTCAATTTCCTGACCATCCCAGCTCTCCTCAAAGGGGTGCAACGCCATCTGCATGACCCTCCTTAGCACATCCCTCTCGCCGTCCTTCTCGACTCGTTTGATAAGCTCGTCAAGCACCCAACCACGCGGTACAAAGTTGGGGTTCACGGCCTTCATGGCCTTCTCCCGCTTGGCATCCTGGCCATCTTCTTCGCCCCAGTCTTCGACGACGCGAGCGCGCCACTTATCCAACCAGTTCCCGACGTCAGACCGGCCCTTGGCCTCGCTGCCGGCCGTCGCGCCCTCGGCGTGGAAGAAGCGCGCAGCCGTCTCGCGGCGAGCATCCTCAGTCGCAATGTCCGACAACTTAACGGAGCTGAGGCGCCGGAAGAAGTGGTTGAAATCCAGCTCGTGGGTCTCCATGGTATCCAGCAGCCCGCTAAACAACTCGTCAAAGTCGCTCTCCTTGAAGTTCTTGAGACCAACGCGCAGCGTCATGAGGCGCTTGTACTCGGCCATGAAGA